CAGCAGGAAACTGCATGTGTAACACACACAACACATTATATTCTTGTGTAGATGAGATAAGATAGAAAATAATTAATAATCATGTTATTTACTGGATTTCCACATAAGCATGTGCCTTCCTGTGTATCAGTAAACACTATTGCCTTCATATTATGCCTGGCATTTTAGAAAGCTCCTGTGATTGCTCCCAGTCATTCTCGGGTGCCATGATAAAAGTGTTAGGCTACCCGATGCCAGATGCAAGTGCAACTGTGGGAGTATGAGCCTTGAGATGGTCTGAGGAGTAGGTTATATCCTTGAACCTAAACATGAAAATTCCCTGTTTACCCCCTGCTATTCCCGTCTTCTCTATTTGGAAAATATAAATTAAGAAAATATGCTATGTTGGGCAAGTAGATTCATGGATCTATGTTCAAATAAAAGCATATTCAGAATCAGTTTTGAAAATTATATAGCACACATTTTCTGTATTCTAGCTTAAAATGAACATCTGGACTGTGGATATCTAGAAATCTTGTTTGTCATCTTTTTCTCTGAATAACTTGAGTAAACCTGTATTGCATTAGACGATGAAAACTGAAATGAACATCCTCGGGGTACATATAATAGATATCTCATTCCACAACTTCAAAATATATGTAGGCATTACAACATTTGTGGGAGGTGGAACAGGACCCGCTGATGGGACACGTGCAACGACGTGTACTCCTGCTCCTGCACATATGAAATTAATGCTGCAGTCTACTGATGGGCTGCCTCTAAACTTTGGCTTCACTGGTAAAGTATGTTCAGATTTTTTATTCTTTTTTACCTCCATATTTTCTTCTCTGTATTGAACACATCTGAAGGATAGGAATCTCATTTTACAACTTCCCTAGTAGTATGAAAAATTGTTGCGAACCCTGAAAAGACTGTTACCTATTTTTCTGCTTCCAGTGATCACATTTATTTAATTTAGGGTAATGCTGCCAAACCTGAGGAGCTACATAAAATCATCAGGGCTGGAGCAATGGGACTGAAGCTTCATGAGGATTGGGGAACTACTCCTGCTGCAATAGACAATTGTTTGACTGTTGCAGATGAACATGACATTCAGGTCACTTTCTTAAAAGGAAAAATCAGGAAAACTCTCATGTGTTATGTATTTAAACCAGAATTCTTTTTTTATATTGCATTTTGGCAGGCCAATATCCATACTGATACCTTGAATGAATCTGGATTCGTGGAAGATACTATTGCTGCATTTAAAGGAAGAACTATCCATACTTATCATAGGTAGATATTGAATCTCTGATTATTTTTCAATTTACAGGTTCTAGTGTGACTTAAATAACAATTTCTAGAGGAACAAAAAGAGGAAAACAGCAATATCTTGATTAGCGAAGTTCTTGGTGGCTGTCCTGTATTCACTTAAATACTGTTAATGGTATACCATTAACCATGGTCAGAAATCTCTACCTCTCTGATGATGTGCTTATCTTTGCTTTTGAATACTTGGCTATTGGCATCACATTAACTGCAGTTGCAGTGCTTTTTCCTTTTCATGGTAGCACCTAATATCTCTTTCTTTAGATGTTTTCAATCTTACTTTTTTTGTCTATGTTCTTCATAATCCTCAAGTTGTTGTGATCAAATAGCTTTTTCCACTTACTAAAGTATTACTAACCTATTATAACTGTTTTACCTGCGTACAATATTCATTTGAACTTTTACCCTTTTATTAATTATTCCACTTTCTGCTCTTTGATGTTTATTTTGATTATTTTTGGACAGTGAAGGTGCAGGTGGTGGTCATGCTCCGGATATTATCAAAGTATGTGGTGTAAAAAATGTCCTGCCCTCATCAACGAACCCCACACGGCCATATACTTCCAATACTATAGATGAGCATCTAGATATGCTGGTATGATGGGATGCTGAATGTAAGCATGTAGAATCTATACAGGTGTTTCGTACTCATTTTGTATTGGATGATGCAGATGGTCTGCCATCACCTTGATAAAGACATTCCAGAAGATGTAGCTTTTGCTGAATCAAGAATAAGGGCTGAAACAATTGCTGCAGAAGACATTTTACATGATATGGGAGCGATTAGCATTATATCTTCCGATTCACAGGCCATGGGCCGCATTGGAGAGGTTCATCAATTTCTTGTTTTGATTAATGAGCACTTTTTTTTTTTCAATCATTCTGCTTCATATCTTTCTTTGACTATCATTATTGTTTCCTTGCCATTGCTAGCTTGACTTGATCATATGGGCTTTGGAAGCTTAAATGAAACCTACTCTAGCATTTTGACAGATATGTTTTTTTACACAATACAGGCATACCTGGATATTGACTAGATTTAGTTGTGATATAATTAAGGATCATGAAAATTTGTAGTCAGAATGATATGTGCATAGAAAGAAGAAAAATAAAAAGAATTGCATGCATGGCTTCCTGACAAAATTATCTAGCTATAAACTATCGTGCCAGTAAACCCAGCATGTTGAAATAAACTAAAAGGACAAAATACCTTTAAAAGTTGATGGCTACAGTAACATCCTACTGTGGCATGGACCTTATCTGCTATCTTGATTTGCTACAATATTTTTGGGTTAAAATTGGACTCATTACGCAATAAGCTACCGACATGACATCTTATAATGAATCACTAACAAAATATATATTCTTTAGATAATTTACAAGGCTTCCACAAATGGAACACAAGTCCAGTTTTCATGCTAGCTATTTTTGCATCAGATATGCTCATGTGGGAGAATCACAAGTCTTTGTTTTTCTTCCTCCTCTTTGATCTGGCTATGGATGTGCTTGCTATATTAGTGATCAATTTGCAATTCCTCAACTGCACTATCCATTGAATTTTTCAAAGTTGTTGTTTCTTTAACCTCTGCCACACTTGCATGTAGCATATTTGTTGTTTGTATTCCTAAATTATGGCTCTGCATCCTTAATAACTGTGCAAGCTGAGGTTGAAATTTAGTCCCATTCTGTCTTGTCAGGTCATAAGCAGAACATGGCAAACTGCTCACAAGATGAAATCGCAAAGGGGATTGATTGGGCCTGGTGGATCAGACAATGACAACTTTCGCATCAGAAGATACATTGCAAAGTACACAATAAACCCTGCAATAGCTAACGGGCTTGCTAAGTTTGTTGGTTCAGTTGAGGTATGCTAGTTTAAACCTCCACAAGCCAAAAGTTATCACGCACAAATTCTTCCAAGGATTGAGAAACAGTTAATTGCAATAGTTCAGTTCGTACATGACAAACATTATCAATTTCTGTTTAATCTGTCAACTGGACATTATGGTGGAATTGAATCAATTAATTTTGGAATCTCCCTTGCCTTCCATTGGTAATACATGTTCCTGCAGGTAGGGAAGCTAGCTGATCTTGTTTTATGGAAGCCGTCTTTCTTTGGGGCAAAACCAGAAATGGTGATTAAAGGTGGTGCTATTGCATGGGCTAACATGGGGGATGCAAATGCAAGTATCCCTACACCTGAACCTGTAAGATTTGATACCATTAGTACAAAAGTAAGATGCATCATATGACTAATTATCACTTTGCTAATGTAACAGCCATGTGAATTTTATACTTATGATATAAAATTTATGATGAACATTTTGGAATCTCGTTTTTTTGGTTAATCATGCATCTCTTTAGTGACAACTTCAAACTAGCGTTTGGCAATTTTAAACAGGTGTAATGAAATGAAAAAAAAAAAAAACCATTAGGAGGATTATTACCTGGCACGGTATTTCACATGTTTATATGGTCTGAAAATCCAAGTTGAGTTTTCAAAGATGCGTATAGATCAAAGAGCAAAATGTAACTTTTTTGTTGCAGGTGATTTCAAGGCCAATGTTTGGAGCATTTGGTAAGGCTGGGAGCACTCACTCCATTGCTTTTGTCAGCAAGGCACGGTTCCCTCTTTTTCTCTCCCATATGCTTGTGTACATGATGTTGCTTTATATATACATATATATATGAATCTTTTTTCTTTTATTCCTTGTGCACAGGAAGCTGCAGACAATGGGATCAAGGCAGAGTACGAACTCGACAAGAGAGTGGAAGCTGTGGGTGGTGTCAGGAAACTCACCAAACTCGACATGAAACTCAATGATGCCCTTCCAGATATTACAGTGGATCCAGAAACATACACGGTAACTGCAGATGGTGAGGTTCTTACATGCCCCGCTGCCACCACAGTTCCCCTTTCACGTAATTATTTTCTATTTTAGCCATCTTTACAAATTTATAACACCGTGATCAAATGTTGATCCTGACGTTTATCTTATATGGGTATAGGATGATCACTTGTTTTTCTTATTGCAAATTTGGGCCAACTGTTTTCTGCCTTTTGCGCTTATAGCGAAACCTAATTCTGTTCCTCTTGGGCTCCTTGTTGACATAGAGGATTCTGGGCAGATGTCCCAGATAATTTTTTATGGAGAAAATAAAAGAAATGTAGCCCTGATGATATGCCGCAGGCTCGATCCTTCTAAGATTGTTTTGGAATTACCTTGTACTTTTTCTAACCCCATAGAAATTTACTTCTTTTTTTTTTAAAAAAAAAGAAATTAAGTCGTTCTTTTTTTTGAAGTATTTTAGCCATCACAATTAACCAATGCATTTTTATTTTTTTTAATTCTATGACCATGTGTAGGATAAATGATGATTTAGGTGCGTCTATAACGTTTTAGCTATGGTGAAATATTTTAAACTATGTTTTACAACGAACAATAAATCCACACATTTCTTATGGTTTTATCCTTTTGGATGAAGTTTGGTATATCGAAGTTAAGTTTATCTCGTATTTATTTAAAAAATAATTATCATCATTGAGAGTATTAATTTCCATGTGCTTCCTTTTTTAAGGGTCATTAGAAAAAAAAAAAGAAGCTAATAATGATATTTTAGATTGATCCAAGATTAAAATTTTTAATTTTAACTCAATAATAACTAATTAATGTTTTAGAATTAATTAATTGTTTAAAAAAGAATCTCAACACATAATTTTTATATATATAAAATATGTTTATGCACACTAAATTAGATATTTATACCTTCCTTGAATTAAAACAAGATTTATCCCCTTCTATCCATAATCATCAAAATTAATAGGCAAAAAAAGACATACCGAAAATTATATAAAAAATATACCTCTTAACCCCTATTTACTTTACTAACTCAGCAACCATTTTCTAATTTTAGTATTGATATGCTTATACACTAAGATTCTAGGAAATTGGTGTAATGAATGGGCAAATATGAAGCGATTACAAACTCTCTTCATCCACTGTGATCAAGTCTGGTCTAGACAATCAAGCAAATATGTTAAAATAATGTTGTTTTATTTTTTTTGTCAAAACCAGGACAAAGATGGATCATGGTTCTCGAACTCGTACCGATCCTTATCTTTTATTAAACGTGCATTATAGTCATGAAGTCGTAATCTTTCTTCCAGGAGAATTGGCTTCGAGGATGCAAAAAATTCAAAGGAAAGGGGAGAAAGATCAAACGAGAGAAGGTAAGTGTCACGGGAAGAATATAAAATTGTCTTTGCGTTCATGATATCATTACATGGAATTTTTTTTCTTTTTCTTTTTGGATCAAACGGCTATAAACGTCCAGACAGCTTCTGTACTGTTTATTATAATTTACAAAGGATATCTTCCATTTTTTAACCTCCTCTTGTTATTGGAGTGATATCTTCTCTGCTTTGGAACCCCCACAGTTCATTGAATCGTGGCTCTTGTGCAGCCCAGCTACCTCATTGGCACGTGTTTCCACGCTCCATTAACTGAGATTGTGCAGCTGAACTTGTCAAACATCATTAAAGTAAACATGGAAAGAACTACAGAAAACGTTGAAAGAGATCACAATCACCATTATCGACTGTCTCTCTCACTCAGACACATAAAACTCAGTCCACGCAGTTTTCACAAGCTGCAAACTTTTCTCTCACTGTCCTGGGCAGGGAAACTCCATTGATTCTGCCAGCAGCCTCATTTTTACCTTGACAGGTTGTCAACTTTCTTTTCATCGCCATGTATGCAATGAAACGAGTATATTCTCCTTTCAAGTCAGAGCTCACTTTCCGAATATCTCCGGCGACATCCAGAGCCTGGAAAGATGGGTTTTTCTGGAAAACCAGAGTTCCATCTGGATCAAAGGTTAGTTGTACGCCCGGGTCAATTCGAGCAGTGATAAGCAGTGATGACAAGGCTTTGGAGCCTTCTAGTAAGGAAGCTAGTAATAAAGAAGTCGATGAGATAGTGTTTTCGAGTTCTAGTAATAAACTAGGAAAAGGAGGGATAGATGTGAGGGCAGTGATCACTATAAGGAAGAAGATTAAAGAGAAGATCAATGAAAAGATTGAAGATCAATGGGAATACTTTGTTAATGGGATTGGTAAAGGGATCCTGATTCAACTTGTCAGTGAGGAGACTGACCCTGGTAATCAGTAGAGCATATTCCATTGCTTTGAAGAATTTTTCAATGACTTTTTTTTTTAACATTATTTGCATGCTAAAACCTGCATCAGTAACCAAATAAGTTTCTCTGCTCTGTTGTTCTTGTAGAAACCAATTCAGGGAAGAGTGTACAGGCTTCTGTGAGGGGCTGGTTACCAAAGCCATCAAATAATGAGCATATTATTGAATACGCAGCTGATTTCACTGTTCCCTTCGATTTCGGGAATCCTGGGGTAGTGCTTGTTACCAATCTTCATGGCAAGGAGTTCTACTTGATGGAGATTGTAGTTCATGGTTTTGATGCAGGCCCTCTTTTCTTCCCTGCAAATACATGGATTCATTCGAGCAAAGATAATCCTGATAGCAGAATTATCTTCAGAAATCAAGTGAGCGGTGTTTACTAGGGATTTTTTTGTTTTGTTTTCTTTACCAAGTTTTTGTGTTTCATTTTACTTATGCGATGGGCACATGTTGTACACAGGCATATCTACCATCGCAAACACCACCTGGTATTAAAGATCTAAGGCGCGAAGACTTGCTCAGTCTCCGTGGTAATGGAAAAGGCGAGAGAAAGCCTCATGATAGAATTTATGATTATGCTCTTTATAACGATTTAGGTAATCCTGACAAGGATGACGAACTTGCTAGACCGGTCCTGGGCGGTGAAAAGTGGCCTTATCCTAGGCGCTGTAGAACTGGTAGACCTCCAACTAAGAAAGGTATCGTGTTCTTCTGAGAATTTATTTGAACTACTTCCTGACATTCTTTCAATACTAATCTGATTAGTTATGCATTTCCTTGAGTGATTTCATTTAGATCCAAAATGTGAAACTAGAATCGAAAAGCCACATCCAGTATATGTACCTAGGGATGAAACTTTCGAGGAGATCAAGCGGAACACTTTCTCTACTGGAAGGTTGAAAGCTCTGCTTCACAATCTTATTCCAGCTATTGCTGCTACACTGTCAAGTTCAGACATTCCCTTCACGTGCTTCTCTGATATTGATAAGCTATATAATGATGGTTTTATTTTAAAAACTGAGGAGCTAGGTGAAATAGTCCAGAATCCCTTTTTGGGAAATTTTATGAAGCGGGTTCTTAGTGTGAGTGAAAGGTTGCTGATATATGATATTCCAGCTGTTATAAAGCGTAAGTACTCTTTC